GTGCGCGATCATGGCCGCAACCATTTTATTAGCCATGCAATCCCAACGCATCAATGCCTTCTACACCCTCAGGCACGTCTTCCTTTTCAAACTGTCATAGTCAAGGGCATTTTGATAAACTCGAGTACATTTCATGGTCTAGTCTAGTGGAAGCAAATGCTTCAATTAACTTTGCATCACCATTAACCTTCGTTTAGATGTCAGAGCCTTCGTTGGTAGCACCATCGCATTACTCTAGTTTAACGAGTCACATGCACACCTTCAGCACTCATGCAAGTATACCCACTGCAGTTTTTTCGTCAAGGTGTTGAGTGGTTTTCCCAGAGATCGAGCAGATTTAATGATGTGATGAGATGTGTGTGGTAAAATAAGGCTTTCAATTCTGCAAACGAGCTAATCGTTCATGGACTAACAGAGTCAGATGGAAGGGGTGCTGCAATGTCAGCAACTGGTTAGAATGATTGGATTTGGGAGTGTTTAAATCGAGAGATCGGTAGTATGGAAATCTTGTGAGCAAATGCTGTTAGCAAAGGTGTGAGAGTTCGACAGCTGAGATTAAGGTCGCTTCTATAGGAGGATTGTGGGGCCATGTCAATGCAGTGCGGATCTCAGAATAACATGAGACACTCAGCAGTTTTCTAAAGACATTATTTGGACAGGATAAAGTGACCATGAGAATAATTAAAGGCGAAAAAGGATCCGCACTGAGACGCATCACCACTTTCTACACTTCTCGACACTCAGTCATTTTTGAGGCAGTAATTGCTACTGCCTCAGTCTTATTTGGAAAGGCTTGAGCAGGAATGAACATTACCATTTCCAATCCAGTCTCACCAAGCCGGAAACAGCGTGATACGTAATGAGCCAGTAGAGGAGATGGGAGCACGTGAAGGGAATGACTTGGGCAAGCAGGACCGTAAGTAGATGAAAATCCTTTTTGAGGAAGGGGAGAAGGAGGTCTGAGATGACAGCTGTAGGTGCACTGCTTCAACTGCCACAAACACATGCAATTGGCAGAGAAATCTGCAAGATGCTTTTGCCACAACTTATTAATTCCCACACCTCAAATTCACAGTGTTAAGCAGAGTTACCCTTTTAACCTCAACAACGCCGTTTACGCGATGATTGAGGCGACTAGTGCGACATGGATGGGTGGTATTGTGGAATTGATTACACAGCAAATGTTAAGACACCCTGAAGCACTGCGCGGTAATAAAGTGATTCATCACCACTGCCAAACTGCTGCTACTTAGAGCTTGTGATGGGTAAAGGTATTTGATGCGAGACTGCCAGTTTGTCCAGAACCAAGAAATTTGGATTAATTTTGCAACTGAAAGTGTTCCAATTATGCAATACTGGTGGCCACACTTTGGCTGCGAAGGCTCTTAGGCACTCCTTCAATATAAACACAATGCGTTGCTTTGGTCGTGCACCGTCGAGGGTGGTATTGCGTGGAGACCTTTGACATGGACTACATCTCCTGCGCATCTGCTAGGATGAAATAAGCCATGTGCAAAGGGTCTACATAGGGAGAGATGGGCCAATAGGTGGAAGAAGTTGATTAGAATGTCAGAGTAGTCGAGCCAAGTGAAGTGACTTCGTCAGTGACAAATGGAGGATTTTAATGCAATAGATGATGGCTCCATCACCATTGACCTAGATTTCACCACTTTTGGATGATCGCTGTATTGGAATGTGGCGCTTTAGAGAGGGCGTTGACACAGACCGTTTTGCGAGGCGACTTATGCTTAGTTATCTCTCCGTCTTAATGAGCACCGTCCCGAGTGCTCCGACTTTGGGCAAGATGCGTTGGTCTTCCGCCCTCTATACCATAAAAGAACCATCCCACCATCCAACAAATGGTGCAGTCTTACACAAGTCGTTCATGTTGTGACGAAGGACAAATTCACAGCTATTTTATGACTGGAGCAATTAGTCACTGCGTGCTCACATTTTTTGATGAGGGTGCAACTCATAGCTTCAACATCCGTCGGCGTGCCTCTGTTGTTCTCTGTCTCATCACTCGCTCTCTGGACGTAATATTCACCCACGAGGAGCATTAACACACATCATACTGCACCTCTTAGTATCCAAACGCACCCTAGGTCACACAGCGTAGAACAACATAGCACAACAACAACATGACAACATAAAACGCTAGGCGATCTGGAATTTGTCCGAAGGGG